ATTATTATTATTATTATACTGCATTTGGGTGTTCACCCGGGAAAAAATTCTAATTCCATCCAGCTTGAAGTTGACTGTATTTAACCAAACCTAATGATACTGCTTATGATTTTTCAAAGCATTTTCAATCAGTGTGCCACAATCCTTGACCTACTGCCTTTCCGAACCTTTTGTCATCTTCTGAATTCTTACCTTTAGCGTCTGTTTCCGATTCTGATGTTATCAAATCCATTAAGCGCCTGTGGCCATCTAAATCTTTTGGAGTCGACGGCGTCCTTGGATTCATTATTATGGGTTATACTGATATATTTGTACCTATTCTTAAACATGTCTTTAATCTAAGATTTTCACAGTAAAAGTACCCCTGTTAGCGGCTATAGGCCTATAACCCTACTGAGTAATTTTTCTAAAATATATTAATTTATTGTTCATGACCATGTTTCCTATTATATAAAATCTAAAATTAGTCCTTATCAGCACGGTTTCTCTAAAACTAAATCCACGAGCACAAATTTGGTAACTTACGTTGATTTTATTTCTCCTTCATTCTGCTCTCAGAGACAAACTGATGTCATTTATTTTGATTTGAGCATGAGCAATGCGTTAGCCCTCGTCTCACATTCTTTTCTTCTTCATAAGCTTTGTGCTCTTGAGCTTTCTAGTGGCTATGTAAACTGGTTTCACAGATACCTATCCAATCGGAAATCTCAGGTCCGTGTTTCTCGTGTTATTTCTTCGCCTTTGGAATCTCTCCGGTGTTTCTCAGGGATCTGTCTTGGGACCCCTTCTCTTCAATGTGTTTATTAACGACATATGCGATGCATTTGCCCAGTTGCTGCTACACGTGCAATAGGTTCTAAAGGGTTCTGACGATGGTGTATAACACACAGAATTACTGAATTTTTGGACTTTTAACATCGTCCGATATTCTAGAAAATAGAAAGCACGATGTTTCGGATACTTCTCCATGGTGCATTTTGAGAAATTGGCTCTTGACTCGGCACGACATAAATCATCACTGTGGCTGGGGCCGCGCCATAGCTAAAGCGGTTAGTCGCTGGCTTCCCACCGCGGTGGCCCGGATTCGATCTCGGATCTGATCAAGTGGGATTTGTGGTGGACAAAGTGGCGCTGGGGCAGGTTTTCCCCGAGTACTTCGGTTTCCCACGCCAATCTTCATTCCAGCAATTGCTCCCCAATCACCACCACCTATCATTTGGGGCTGGTACAATAGGCCAGAAGTGGCTACAGTACAAGGGACTTAGTCCCACCCCACTAGCAATAAAAAAATCACTGTGGCTGCGGTACGTTGATGATAAGTTTGTGGTCTGGCTTCGTGATCCAGAGCCGTTACAAGATTTCCTCAGCCACCCCAAGAGTTTAAGGCCATCCATCCAGTTCATCACGGAAATATAGTCAGACAGTGCGATAGCCTTTCTTGATGTTCTACTCAACAGGGAAGAGACGACACTGGCCACCAAAGTCTACATGAAATCCACCCACAATTAAAAATTTTAAAGATTTAAATTCTGAATTATAAAACTTTTAGTGTGAGTTTCACGTGAGATGGCAGTCAATACTTGAATAGAAAGTAAACAGAGTGCAACAGGATGCTACAATAAAACATGATCATTTGTCACAACAGCAAGAATAAATGTTATCTAATTAGTTCTTTCATTTGACATCGTTTTGTTAATATGACCGGAAAGCAGACCAAGTTATCGATGTGTGAGCTGTAATAGCAAGACGAATCTTCAGGAACTGGAAGAGGTAAGTGTACGTAAAACTTGAAAGAAATGGTTACCAAAACATTCCCTTAGTTACAAAAATGAAATGCTTTGTGTTTGCCTCTGAGTCCTGCTAAGAAGTAGGCAAATTGGGACTTTCGAAGTAGCTGGGTATAAATACAGAATAACACTAACACCTTCCATCCAGCTACGGGAAATTGGATCTTTATTTCATTTTACATATATCCTATATGTCCTACAAATGGTAAGAAATTTGGCTCCTAGCCGGGTCTTCCATTTCTGAGGAATCAATGAAAGAACTAAAACTCTGAAATTAGCTCTTGCCATAGGCATATATTCATTCTCTTGAATAGCGAAAAGACGCAAAGACAAAATGTAATGTTTGCTGCTCAGTTGTACTCAAATAATTTACTACAGCAAGATCATTGAAGAGGCACTTACCGGCGAACAAATAGTAACTGGCTTAAGCAATAGAACTGATTAATCATTTATTCGACTTGATGAAGTCTTATACACTAGCCGCTCGAGTTACGTCATATTTAAATGGGTTTATTATTGTTAATAACCATTATACAGTTCGTAAGGAGTTCTTGGAACGAAATATGGTACTATGTAATTTTGGAAGAATTTTTTCATTGGTAATATGAATTTTTCTCAGTTGCTAAATAATTACTGCATTATGCAAATGGTCTTTTCTTTGGGCACCCATGAGTTGGATTTGCAGTCTTTCCACGTTCTTATTCCTTAGTGTCCAGGTTGCATAACAAAAAATAAGAGCTGTTTTAGCTATTGCATAATCTTAATTGAACATTTCTCGACATCTCACATTTTCTTCCAATAATTCCATACATTTTATTACAACTATGTAGTATTTTCCCAGATCAGGTCTTCTAGTGACAGAGATTTTATTTTCAAGATATACAAACATTTTAAATCTGTCTATTACAGAATTTCAATAAAGTACTTATTTACCCACCATTGCCATACTCTTTGGTTTTACAAGAAAAAAAGAACATGACATGTTCAACTGCCTTTATAACAGCATGTGCTCTTGGCTATAGCTGTCCTAAATCTCACTCACCTTGGAGTGAGGTTTATGAGGCAATCCACAAAATGCCCCAGTTCATATCTGGAACTGGTCCGAAGACAAAGACGTGCGTCGACCATTTCTAATTTTTAGTTTTTTTTTTTTTATATTGCTAGTGGGGTTTGACTAAGTCCCTTGTACTGCGGCCACTTCTGGCCTCTTGTACCAGCCCGAGATGATAGGTGAAGGTGCTTGTGGAGCAATTGGTGGAATGAAGATTGGCAGAGGAAACCGAAGTACTCGTAGAAAACCTCTCCCAGCGCCACTTTGTCCACCACAAATCCCACTTGACCAGACACGGGATCAAACCCGGGCCGCCGCGGTGTGAAGCCAGCGACTAATCGCTTGAGCTATGGCGCGGCCGCCCTGTTTATTACTCAAAGTCAGTGCTATTTTCCGGCGGTGCGTGAAGGTACTCAGTATCCACACATTTTTATAAAAGAATCCGTTATTACAAAACGAATTAAATACGTTGTTATAAATCAATAGGGGCACGCGGTAGCGTAGTTGGTTGAGGCACTATGCTACAAGCCGGAAGGTCGCGGGTTCGAGTCCCGATAATGTGGATTTTTTTTTTTAATCTATCTAATCCTTCCAGCCGCACTATGGCCCTGGGTTCGACTCATCCTCTAACTGAAATGAATACCAGGGATCTTCCTGAGTCGTAAAGGGAGGCCGGCGCGTAAGGCTGACAACCTTACCGCCATCTGTGAGCCGACTGTCTAGACAAAATGTGGGAGCCTCGACGTCTCACAACCCTATGGGGCTTCACGCCCTGTTACAGGGATAGCTTTAGCTTTTTAGAAATTGATAAAAGTGGAACAACTGATTGAACCGTTGAAAGTGATACACGCACCGCGGAGATTTTACATTTTTTCTCACAATAAAGGCACAGCTCATAGCGATATGAACCAAATTTGAACAAGGGCTATAGTGTAATGTTATACCGAATGCCATCTTCTAGGATACAACGTCGCGTAGTCCTGTAGAAGTTGACCGACGTTTCGGGGAAACGTACTGCTGCCATCATCAGGGTCGTAGATCAAGTCTAGCATAAACCAGCAAAAGCAGAGTCCTGGCTGTACGTTCTTCCGAAACGTCGTTGAACTTGTACGAACTACACGTCATAACATCTCAGAAAATAGCAGTTTTAATAGTCACAGCTGTGAAAGCCACACATCCAACATAAAGTTATGTTTTGATACATCTGTGTTATGTTGGGAACACTGGGCATCACCTGTTGAGCGCAGCGCATATTCGTAGTTGTGGACGTTGTGGATGTGTGAAAGGTATGGTTGATTGTTTTGTGGTTATGTTGGTGGCTCAGCAGAAAGGAGGGTGATATTGCGTTTTGGGATTGCTGTAAGTGTTGAATTTCTGTGTGTCTGTCGCGCATAAATAACAGTATACATAAGTTCAAAGATACAATAAATGTTTCTTCTATTGAATGACTTCTTTTAGTGAATTATCTTTGATAGGTTATATGGCCGTTTCGGCTGTCGCTTAATAAAAACAGCAAATTCGTTTGTATTTAGTGAAATAACATTGACTTTGATTGATATTGCGCAGTGACGACAATATTGAGGATAGGGACAAGTGGCAGGCTCATGTGAGCGTGGTAGTGAACCCATGGGTTCCTTGGAGGGTTGGCTAGCCGAGCCATGGAGTTAATTTAGTTAGTTCATTGACGGTAATTCTACTGGATGGAACTACTGGTATTTTTAGAATGGGCATGCTGTATATTTTATGTCTCTAATGTTACAAAAGCAATTCTGTGAGGTGTGGTAAATTGTAAGACCTGTGGAAAGAAAGTATAAAGCTACGTTATTTTTATTTGTATGTAACTTGGCATAATCGTTTCGAGAGAAGCTTAAACGAAGAATGATGCACATTAAAATGTACAATATTTAAGAAACGAAACTGAGTGGCAGCATTTCATAAAGAAACCAACCCAGTTGCCTTCAGTATTTCTCACCGTGTTGTAAAGATTGATATAGTGCAGTATCAACTAGGTGGGTAAGCCATTCTTTCTTAAGGTATGCGCAATTCTGGGTACTTCATTTATCGTGTAGATACACAGTATCCAAACTGCTGAGAAACTGTTCCAGGACAACTGGGAAACAGTTACTAAATAATGTTTCCTCTTCACTTCTACCAGTGACAACTTCAGTTAATGAGGCAGTGTTACCAGGTGAAGGTGTGAAACAGTTATGATATGGTGGTATGCAATTATACTCCTTATATGCTCCCACTTCCAGGTTGAAAAGTGCATCATTTATTTTATGTTGGGTAGTAGAATTGTCATAACTTATGGCACAAATGAATGTAGTAATTTGTTGTCCATGTACTTGATATAGACATCATACTCATGTATTTTCGTACTTTATGTTTTCAAGAATATGTGAACTTCCTGTGTCCTTTCAGCTTCATTAGTTTTCTCTTTCTAATCACAGCTCACACACTTTTCTGCTGTCTTCACTTTGAGGAACAGATATTTCTTTCCTGGTTAGATTTAGTAGCTCAAAATCATCATCTTTTGTTCTAAAGAACAGAATTTTGTAAACTATGATTTGAGGATTGTAATGGCACTGTGTTCCCTTTTGAAAATACAGGATGTGGTCAGAGGTATACAGTATCAGGAAACTGATGTAAATAAAATGCGGAAAAATGGTTACAGTATCTCCAGTTGTCATGTAATTAGAAAAAATATCACTAGTACCCCTAATTCTCACTCAGGTTATCACAGATCTAAAGTAAAATTTCTTTGTAACCATTGAAGTCCACCAATAATTGTACATCTCTTATAAAGAGGAATGTAATTACATCATAAAAGCTGCCAATGTAGCTCACATAACACCAAATCTCCAGTCATGATGATTGCATGGCCTTAAAGTGTTACAGTTTGTGTAAGACCTAGTATGATATAGGGTTTTCTCTCAAGATACTGGTATTTAAGGATGAGATGAAGGAGGGTGAGTTATTGGGGGTGTGCAGCATGCATGGGAATACAAGAAATATTTACAAAATGTTAAGGAAACCTGACGGGAAGATGTGAGATTGAGTTTTGATGGTGGTGAAGCCTGATATGATGATCTGAATTTAGCACTGTGTACTCTGGTGACTAATGCTTTGGAAGAAGATGCCACCCCCATCTTCAGGCAGTATGTTCTTTCGAAACACTTGTAAATGTCTACCAGACTACATGGTGGTATCATAACCCTGAAGGGAAGAGACCATTTGGTCTCTTGATAGTTTCAAGGGCAATGTTAAAATGGATCATAAACAAATTGAGCAGTTGTATCTTCCAGAATAGAATGGTGTGTAGTCTGGATTCATCGGACTGCGCAGCATTATATCATAGACGGTAGAGGTCTCTATACTGTTACTGCCTCGTATCTTTAGCCACGGTAGAGGGGTCATACCATCTCTCGCAGAGCAGGGGGGAACAGTCTTGTCAGCTTATGTCAGCGTGGGTACAACCAGTTTGGAATGTAGTGTCTTGGAGTGTGGTCAGGTGTATAGTACTACTCCTGGTCTCCGTAGGCAATGTTTTCCGCTCGGGGAGTAGCTCTAAACGGCCCCACAGCAAGGGTATAGCTTCGCGTGCCCCACAACAGTGTTTGCCTTTCCGGGCGGCTGAAGTTACCAGGCAATAACAGTAGCTACAACTGTGAGAACCTCAAATCCAATATAAACTGATTGGAGGTTGTGAATTGGATCTGTCTTGATTCAGGATAGGAACCAGTGGTGGACTGTTGGGAACAATGTAATGGATCTTCAAGTTCTGAAATTTTGCTTTTCTACTTAGTTACAAACAAATCTCATAACAGTAACCCCATAAAAATACAATAGACAAGTTGAGTCCCTAGATGTCCTTAATTTTCTTCCATTTAAGCAAATGATACCTATTGTTGCAGGGTCCTCCCTTTCAGCATGATGCAGAATGAACTGCCAAGCCGACCTGCAGTCTTGGCTCAAGTCGGCTCAGAATTGTGTGTTACAAGTAATAAGACCATGTGCTGGTTGGATACCTTGTCTGCAGAGACGGCGACAGGTGCACCCAGCTGCATCAAGCCCCTTTGCTGGCAGAGAGTTTATACATCTTAGCTCACATAGAAGAATCAGGGTTGTCCATATTGGTGTAAATGAATGTAACTCTAGTGGCTTATGTGTGAATGGAGCAGGCACACATATGGAGATTATGGGACTGCCATCAGAAGGATGTCATTATACTTCCAAACAGAGACACTTGTCTTTGGTTTCTAACTGTTCAGAATTATCATCAGAGGAATACTGGTTCACACGATGGAATAAACCACTTAGGATGTCAGACTCCTGCAACTGTTCATTCAGGAAATCATGGAGAAATTCATTAAGAGATTCCAGAATAATGTTAAATCAAGTGGAAGAAAGAATAAAGAATGATACAAGCCAAATATTAGATGATTCAACATTACGTGAAGAATGTGTCGATCAGGAAGATAAGCTATCATCCAGAAGTTACAAGTTGTTGCAGATCGAGTCTTTCGTTGAGGAAGTACTTCAAGAGGTGTGGAATGAAGTGTTCTCATGTTTGCCACAAATTGAGCGTAAAGTGGAGAATTCATCTCAGTTGGAACTCAGGTGTGTGCCCCATTGCAATAGTATGCAACATAACAACAGCTCAGAACTTCATTATGTATGCAGTATGAAAGATGAACCAGTTGGCAAAAATCAGTTCAGAAACGACGATGTTATTCCTCATGCTGTAATTTCTTGCCATGAGATACCAGACGATAATCATGCTGTAGAAACTCTTAACCATAACATAGAAGGAACACATAAACAACAGCTAGTTAACACATCACCAAAATCTGTTGGCTGTGTAAATCCCACATTTTTTGGTTCCAGTATAAATCCTGACCTTCTAGAATATGCAGTTGTTCCTGGTGCTCCAAGTGTGGAATGTGATGCCTTTTTTCTAAGAACAGACTTGCCAGGTTTTGTTGGGATGGGTGCAGAGTGTTTTGATGATCCTGATTCAGGTTTTAATACAGTCTCATTGGAGTGTAATCGTGCGATTAATGCTGACTGTTTTAAGGTTGCCAGTAAACATTCAGATGTCGGTCAGCTTTCACATGTTACGGAAAAGACTCTAACAGAATCTTATACTGCCAATCCAAATGAGATTCATCTGACTGCATTACAAGCCAGAATTTCTGCAGATTCACAGTTCAGTGATAAAATAATTGAAGCCAAAGATGATGCACATGAATATAATCAAACAACTTTTACCTCAGTAGATATAAGGTTGCCAGATACTTGCAGAACTCAAAGTAATATTGCAGATGTTGGGCCTAAGGTACAGAAGTCAGATATACAACACAGAAAAATCAAGCAATGTTATCACACAGCTAACCTTAAAAGACTGGTAAGTCAGATTTTTGTTGTTTCTAATAGTGAATATGATAGTCCAGTACAGTATTGGCCTGTTAGCTTGAAAGTGTAGTAAGATAATGAGTAAGGGAATATGAGAGGTTCTTGTGTATATGCATATATCTGACAGCAGGGTTTGTAGGTATGCAGTTCAGATTATAGGTATACTGTTTTTTCTTTTGCTTCACAGAAACCGTTGCTTTATTTTCTGCATGGAGTTGGATGCTCGGCAGATGTGTGGTCTGCATTGCTTCAGTATTTTACCGCAGCTGGATATGAGGTAGTGGCTCCAGACATGTTGGGTCATGGTTATAGTGCTGCCCCTGATAAGGCATCAGCATATGCATTTCACCGTCTCCTGAAAGATTCCATTGATATATTTGATAGATTTGTTGGAGAGCACCGCAGTTGTGTTGTCATAGGGCATGCTTATGGGTGAGTTAAGTTTCAGACTCAGTAGCAGTAATAACACACAATACCTAAATAAAGAAAAGTCAATTTCTCTTTGACCCAGTGCATTGTATACACATGAGCAGGTGCTGTTCCTTTCAAATTCAGTTTTTGATGGTACAGTGTTGTTACTCTTTCGCAGTTTTGATCCTATGTGTAATCATTGCCTTAATGTTAATATATGGTATTAAACCATGTAAGAAAGTAAAGCTATCCCTGTACCAGGCTGTGAAGGCCCATAGGGTTGTGAGACGTTGAAGGCCCCACATTATCTAGACAGTTGACTCAAAGATGGCGGTAAGGTTGTCAGCCTTATGCGTTGGCCGCGCTTTACTCCCCAGGAAAATTATTTAATTAATTCCTGGTACTCATTTCTGTTAGAGGCTGAGTCAACCCCAGGGTCATAGTGCAGCTGGAAGGATTAGGTCAATTGAAAAAATCCAATGACCTCATCGGGACTTGAACCTGTGACCTTCCGTCTTGTAGCATAGCCCCTCAACCAATTATGCTACCTCTAGATTTGTGCCTAAGAGTTATGCTGAGTTGCTGTCAGTGTGTTCTTTGCTTGAATGTGAACATTCAGAGTACTTATTGTATGCACAACATAAGAAGTAATTTGCTATTTTATAGATCTTTTGATTTCTTTTGATTTTCATACTGCAGTAAAAGAAGGTAAAAGAGATTTAACATGAAAACTTGTATCAATTAATTTCCTGATACACTTTTTTTTTTAAGTTTGGAAATTTAATTGGACAATTAAAGTTACAGTTTTTGCGTATGCAGTCTACATGTGGAAAGATTTCTCCATTGAAAGAGGACTTACTCTTTATCATCCAAGAACAGGAGATTTAAAACCCTTATGGGTGCTTGTGGCTGGGTTTAACTTAGGTGTAATAGTATTTTGTATTGAAGGAAATGCCATGCTAAAGTTTTGGGACTCATGCTGCATCCAGATAACATGACCCCATGTTGCTGTTTGTATCCAGGTGCAGCCTTGCAGCTGCTCTTGCTCGCTATAGGGCACAACAAGTGAGCCATTTGATTTTGATCAGTGGAGGTGGACCAGCGCCACTTGCACCCCGAACAGCTGATAGTCGCCCTCCATCTATATCCCCATGCCTCCTGGCATGCATGAAGCCTCTTCTGATGTGTGGATTTAGACGGTAGGTCCAATTCAAGCTGCACAAGTTGGTTTCAACTGTGATGCCCAAAGACAAAATAGTTTCAAGTCCCATCACCTGTTCAACTGTTCAAGAAATTCTGTGTATGCAGAATTATGTGTCCTTTCAACTAAAAATTGTTTTATATTGAAATTTATTTCAATGAAATATGTAAAAAATGTAGTCTGTAATGTATTTTTTATTTCAAACTATGTTTTAAATATTTTCTATGAGTTAAAATGTTTTGAAAATATTGCTTTGTAGTATTCCACTTCAAGTCATCCATAATTTTATCTTATTTCACTTAAGACAAACGTGGTACATATTCAGCGGTTAATCAGAACAGATATAACAGAAAATTACTCTGCTTTTTCTTCATGACCTGTGTTGATACTATTGCACTAGAAACTGTTGCAGGAACAGTGATATCAACAATATTGTGTGATATTGTATATGGCCATATGAACAGTATTGCTTCTACTGCAGAACTTCCTGGAACACCTCATTTTAGCATTAACTGATTAAACTTTCTTTTGTGTTCACCTGATCTTGCACATTTATGCATACTTATGTACAACATTCAAAGGAGGAATGTGACAGAACCGTATTCACTAAAGCACTGCTCTTCTGAAAGCAAACATTCATTGAGTTGTGAGGACAACACAAAACACAGTCCATGCTATGTTTGAAAATCTGTGGAGGTGATGAACTTGATCATCCACTTTCTTCATGTCATGGGTATACATCAGTGAGTCCCTTGCAAGGAGTGTACACTTCGGTGAACCTTGCATTCAGATAATTAAAATCCCTTTCATTTTCCAAGATCTGTCATGACATTCTTTATTCCTATTAGGAACAGCTTGTTTTCAAAATGGATGTAAAAAGTAAAGTAAAGCTATCCCTGTAACAGGCCATGAAGGCCCATAGGGTTGTGACACGTTGAGGGTCCCACATTATCTAGACAATGAGCTCAGAAATGGCAGTAAGGTTGTCACCCTTATGCGCCGGCCATGCTTTCCTCCCCAGAAACATTATTTAATTCCTGGTACTCATTTCTGTTAGAGGCTGAGTCAACCCCAGGGCCATATTGCGGCTGGAAGGATTAGGTCAATTGAAAAAATCCAATGACCTCATCAGGACTTGAACCCGTGACCTAAACAATCTATTATGCTGCATGACACAGGAATAGGAGGGGGCATGGCATTTAAATTTTTTAAACAGGTACTCTTTCAGTGTGTTGTTGTGATTGTGGCCCATCTTTAGAATCAATCCATGAAAGAGGAATATTTGTTCATGAGTGTTCTGGGTTGCCATCGCTTATGGCAGCAACTCTTGATTTCTTGAACAGATATCATCAGCAGAACATTTGTAAGAAATAGTTACAGCAGTTCTAGGGTTGTGGAATTACATGCATTATTTTTGGTTGCAGCTCCTGCTGTTGGATATGTGAATGTCAGCTGAGCACATACATTTTTGTTGCTTCTGGTCTGCCTCGTTCCATTTCCCGTCCCCTCTTTCTCCTCATCTCTGCTATCTTCAGAATGAGAGGAGGCCTACTGTGACATGGCAGACTTTCATACTCTTCATTAGTGGATATTTCCTGATTCTATGTATAACTCCCTTTTTATCCATGGTTTATGCTGACCGTCTTACAGTGTATACACTTTTTCACCTTATTCTTCACTTCCACACTACATGTTTTAGCACTAATGTGCCATCTTCAGGTGTCTTTATGCACGTTAAACTACTGTACTGCATGCCATAATGTCTTCATTCTAAAATGACTGAAATCTGTATTCGTCATATAGGATGATGAATTCTAAATAATAAATGAATCAGTGTAAGAGGACGCTAAAATATAACATCCCTTTTTATCTCCATGTCACTGATACATGCACATTTAGGTGACTCTGTCATAGCTAACAACAGGGTGAGAACCACTGAGTACTGACCCAAACTGTCAGGTTTACTCATTTGGTTTGAGCTTCATTTCACAGCTGTCCCTTGTTGAATTCCATTTTGTTCCTAAAGTGCGCTTCTAATGCAATAAAAACCATCAGCTTGTAGAGATTAGGCATGCATTTGCAGAATTTTCTGTCAAGTTTGGGCTACAAGAATATGAACTGAGTGCTGTATTGCAAAGGAAGTGTTTATGGAGGGTTGTAGATACCATAGTACATAGTAAGGAAGCCTAAGAAAAACTGTAGACCATGTTATAGAAGGCATCTATTTGTTGACAACTGTAGTGGCCATTAGTTTCATTGCTTTCCTTATAAATAGCAGTAAACAAATGCAAACACCTTTTAAGGTGATGTGTATCATAAAGTTAAAGTTGTCTGGGTGCTTAACTAATTAAATACTATGCCATGGAGATGTATGGGGGAGTGGACGTGTCATAAGAGCAAAAATGATAAGTCTGTGAATTTCAGGAAATGATAAATATGGTGATATGTGTATTGAACTATGATATGTGAACAAATTATTCATGGAACTAATTTAAATGTGTCCTGATGCAAGGAAAGATAAAAAACCACATGGGATTGAACCTGAGACCTCCATGCTACAAGTCCACAACTGTAGTCCCTCAGCCTTCTAACTTCTTATCCTAAGATGTTGTTGTTGTTGTATTGAAGGGAGAGCTTTTAAAGCTTAAGTTTTTAGGAAATAAGAGCCACTGAACAAAAGGGTAACATATGTGTCTATTTTCTGTCTACTCTCCACCTGTCACATTTTTGTTGCAATCCTCAACCAAACACCTTCTCCTTGTGCGTGTAGTCTGGTTGTGGTACCATTCAATTTTTCTGTAGTAGCCCTGTTAGAACATCCCTTTGTTACTGACTCTTTTTATTTGATCTTCTGAAATTCTTTTACTATAACATTCTGTGTTGTATGACTTTAATAAAAAAATTGCACATAATGTAACATAATGACTGAAAACTGGAATAGCAGAGTGAGAAGAGATGGCCATTGCTAGGCAGTTACTGGTAAATGCATGTTATTGCTAAGCAACAGCTGGTAAACTGACTATGGTGTGGCATTTTCTGTGATATCTCTGCTGTTTTCTTTGCACCCCATTCCAAGGCTATATAACAGGGACCAGAAATAGACGTGGCCCTGCAGTGAGGCAGGAGTTACAGTTGCACAGCTCCCAGAGCCATGAGACAGTAAAAATGGTCATGAGTCCCATGGGACTTAGAACCAAGACTAACTGTGCTGCTAAAGGCCAGCAGCTAAAGTCCACCTGACACGTGGCCCTGTTCTCGTAGACACCTGAAACCTTATATGATGTTCTACATCCCAAACTATAATATTGTCATGTGTAGGGGGCTATGCGTGATGAAAATAATGGGTTATAGATTGGATTTATTGGCACTTCAGTTATAATCTCTCTTAATTAAAATTATTACAGTGCTGTCGCTGATTTACACAATTTACAGTTCACCATTACACACATATTAGGATTCCCAGTCTTCATTAGTTGTCTCATGGTAACGGAATTAAAACAGTCTCGCTCTGACTAAATCTTCTGATCACGCACTTAGTCTTCACAGGCTGACTTCTAATTCTTCAACTATGAGCTTCCTGTGACTATCTTCTACTGCGAACTGTTGTATTCCCATTCTCTTGACTGAAGTCATCTAAGCTACAACAGGTCCTCGTTACATAAGCTCTGCACAGACCACACAGAAAACAGCCTCTGAACTGTTGCTTAAAAATGGGTTACACAACCCTGTTGTTTTTGTTGTGTGCGTGTATGTATGCTCGCTTTTTGTGTAGTATTAATACTGATCCATGCCCTTTGCTGTACTTGTAGTTGATTTTGTGTTTGTCTCCTTGTATTGTAGGAATATCCTGTATGCTCCTTGTGGTAAACATATTGAATCATGCCCTTCAATGACCAAAGGTGTTCCACGCTATGTTCTGCATCATGTAGCCCAAGGTCAGGACTGGCCAGAAGGTGATGCCACATTCCATCGTCGCATTCTTGCCCCAACATTACTGGTTCATGGTCTTCAAGATCCATATGTTACTTTGGTACAGGAATGTGAAATGGAAAGGGTAAGTAGGTTAATGGACAAAAGAGCATTTTTGTATTTATGATGAAAGGTGATAACAGGGCCTGAAAGTGTTACATATAATGCTGGGCTTGTTAATATGCAGGGAGGAAATTCATGTGATATTTCTTGTAAACTAGGCATATTTTAACCAAGCAGCATTATTAGAGATTTAGAGGAAACATGTAATATATTTTCTACCAAAGGAAAGAGCCTCCTTCGTTTACTCTTAGCCCATAAGCATTTCAAGCCGTCTGTATCACCACTTTGGCTTCTCTCATTTCTTTTTCTTCCTTTAGTTTATCTCACTAATGGTTGTTTATTCAATGTATGTTACTCATATATTTTCAAAAGAATGCTGTTTTCATTCATACATAACACTTGGTCATACAAGGTGTATTGGAAAGTTCTTGGACTATTATTGTTGTAACTGCCTCGGTGAAAGAAGATGAGAGGGCAGGCCCAGGTCACACTTCTGCAAGCCTGTTGCATCAGCCTGCCATGCGACACTGCACTGTGAATGTGCATAGTTTTTACATGAGTGCGCTTTCAACTTCATGTTTTGTTTTGTCAGCGATGGATGGCAAAATTGAGCAATGTGTCAGCATCAAGTTTTGCATGAAGCTTGGTAAATTTGCTACCACCGAAACCCTTGAAGTGCTTCGTGAGAATTTTGGAGAACATTCTTTAAGCTTCGTGGTGGTTTTTATGGCATTCACGTTTCAAGGCTGGTCGAGTGTCAGTTGAAGATGACAGACGTTTAGGGTGACCAAGCAACAGTAAAATGACAGAAAATGTTGAAAAAATTTTGAGAACTCATCTGCAAAGACCATCGCTGAACAATTCATGAGCTCGCAGACACCGCTGGGATCAGTTAAGGAGTTTGCCAGGAGTTCTTAACAGAAAATTTGAAAATGCACCACACTGGCCGTTCATCACAAAATGTGCCCACCCACTTGTTCCTGAAAACCACAGAATTTCTTTTACTAACAACAACATGGTTATCGTTCCCCATCCTCCCTACTCACCGCACTTAGTCCCCTGTGATTTTGCTCTGTTTCCCAAATTCAAAATGAAGTGTGACCTTGGCCTCCCCTCTCATCTTCTTTCACCGGTGCAGTTACAGCAGTAATAGTCCGGGAACTTTCCAATACCACCTCGTTTATGGATCAGAACATTGGACTGAGGTGCAAGAAATATGCACTGGAAAAGGCGAAATAAGGTTCCTGAGTGCTACTATTTGTAAGCTTTAAGAAAATTAACCTGTTATAAACCAAGTAATTGGTGAAGAATTAAGCATATATTATAAACTGTTTATTACCAGACACATTGTTTCTGTTATTTAGAGAGAATGGAAAATAAAAGGTTTGCTGCAAGATTTTATTAATATACACCAAAGAATAGAAGAGGAAGAGTGAACAGAAGATGGAAAGACCAATTCTAAATATAATTCTTGTGGCCAGAAGAGTCTAATAAGACTAATGAATGAAGATGCTGGTGGTATCTTCTCAATGAGAGACATATCAATGTTATATGCATGTGTGAGAGAGAGAGTGTATATACCTAACTTAATCTACTGTAACCTGACATATCAAAGGATGTATATGTATGTCTATAGCATAAAAAGATTAACTAACCTTAAATAAATAAAAAGATGTAAGTCATGGGTTTGATTCCTGATGAGGCCATTGGGTTTTTCAATTGTCCTAATCCTTCTGGCTGCACTATGGCCTTGGGGTCAACTCAGCATCTCATAGAAATGAGTACCATGAATATTCCATGAGCCAGGATAGTGCAGTTGGTATAGAGATGGGGTATGGGCTGGATGACCAAGGTGTCAGACTTCGAATCCCAGTAGGGTCAAGAATTTTCACTGCTTGATCTCATCCAGACTGGCTCTGGGGTCCACCCAACCTCCTATCCAATGGGTACTGGGGGCTTTTTCCCTGGGAGTAAAGAAGCAGAGGCATGAAGCTGACCACTCACCTCCAACTAGTTCTGAGGTCTACAAGATGTGGGATTATACATCCACTCCCCCATATGCCTTCATGTTGTAATGCTTAATTAATTAAGCTCAGGGAAAACTTTACCTTAAGCAAATGTGGGATTATACATCCACTCCCCCATATGCCTTCATGGTGTAATGCTTAATTAATTAAGCTCAGGGAAAACTTTACCTTAAGCAGAAATTTTCCTGAGTATAAAGGGTGGCTGGCGCTTAAGGCTGGCAAGCTCACTGCCACCTGTGGGCTGATTGTCTAGGAAATGTTGGAGCCTGAATGTCTCACAACCTGTGGACCTCCATGGCCTGTTACAGGGATAGCTTTACCTTTGTTTAACCTTTAATATATTCGTGTTTAACTCTGTACATGTGCAACATTTCATTGTTCAGGAAATCCCTTTAGAGTTGGGTGATTTATTTGTTCCATTTCTAGACAATTCCCCGATCATTCCTTGAGTTGATACCAGATGCTGGACATTTGTCAATGTTGGAAACTCCTGCTCACCTCAGTCACATGATTCATTGCTTCATTGATTGGTGGAGTCGCTGAAGTTTAGTGTGAATCACTGTAAACTATATTGGGGCCAAGTGGCGTGCAGGTGAGTAAATATAAAATGTTTCATTTGTGTAATTTTCAAAACTGCAGTGTATATGTTTGTATCTTATAGTGCTGTGTAAAACTGGTTAGACTGTTTTGTATTATTTGTGATAGTAGTTCCATTGAAGTTTGTTTGGACTTTTCTAAAATAACAACCATCTATGAGTGTTACCTATTGAACTGTCCTCACATGGGCTTTTGCGTGTTACATATTATATCATGCTATGTACTAATACAGTTGTGCTTATGTAGTCTGTACACAAATAAATGTACATCCTTGATGTGGTAATAACAAGGAATTTGCTTGCTTACTTGTACATTGTGAGTATAGTGAATGAACAATGTTCATATGTGATGAGACATGATGGTTACATTTGCCACACTTTTTTTTAACGCTAGTGGGGTGGGACTAAGTCCCTTGCACTGCGGCCACTTCTGGCCTATTGTATCAGCCCCAGATGATAGGTGAGGGTGATTGTGGAGCAATTGGTAGAATGAAGATTGGCAGGGGAAACAGAAGTACTTGGAGAAAACCTGCCCCAGCGCCACTTTGTCCACCACAAATCCCACTTGACCAGACCCAGGATCAAATGTGGGCCACCGTGATGGGAAGCTAGCGACTAACCCCTTGAGCTATGGTGCAGCCATTTGCCACACTTTGAAGGTTAAGTTAGTCACATGTAACAATCATTCTTAATAACTGAGTTGAATTGATTTAAGTTTCAGTTATGATTACGGAGATGCTGAAGAATTTTCATGAATTTCTAGATCTTGTCTTTGGATGATCTGGAACAGAAGATGTAAGTCTTCCATTTAAGCTCTCATTTCCCTCCATATGCCTAAACTTATCCTCCATTTCATTTGACTGAAGAGGATATGAAGAAGGTTTGAGTATCTTAAGCTCTTGATCTTGAGAATCAAAGTCTGTAACATATTGAATATCAAAGATTTGTATAATATAGTTTACTGTACAAGTGGATGTAAAAGACAGAGCATTTACTAGAAGAAAGTCTATGGGCATGTAGTATGACAGTGTAATAGGTGTATAACTGTCAACTGAGATACTGGTGTTCCAGTCAATGGCAGAAAGTACAAACATTTTATATTCTATTAACTTGAGAACATAATCATTCCATAGTGTACTCTGGCATCATGTTGCACTGTGTCTACTTTGTATTCATGTATTCACTGCCTTCTCACTTGCAACTTACACTGAAAGTTTCAAAATTCAGATTTTAAAATTGTTAAACTCAGTTGTTTCAAGTTGTATGTCTTTATTTAACACATTTATTGTACAACATATTTCAGCCCGTTTGGCCATCATTAGGTGCATTAAAATTATTGGTAAAATTGCTGCAGTTTTGTGCACTGTCATAAATTGTGTTGATACATTTTCCTAATTTTATGATTTAATTTAAAAATCCATAGTATAATTAAATAGACCGCCTCTCTGGTGTGGTGGTGAGAGTTCCTGGTTACAGATCCAGAGGTCCTGTGTTCGATTCCCGGCACTGCCAGATTTTCTGACAAGTAGTGGGTCTGGAACAAGATCCACTCAGCCTCGTGAGGATAATTGAGGAGTTACTTGACTGGAAAAGTAGTGGCTCCGGTCTAGAAAACCAAAAATAACGGCCATGAAGATTTTTCTGTTAAAAGTGTTTACGCTTATATAATGAACCCCTTTTTGTCTAAATCACAGAAGTGATTGTAATGCATGAAGGTGTCCTCTATGCCTTCTTAACTTATGAATTGCAGAATTAAAGGTAAAATGCTCCAAATTGCTCATCATAAAAGTCATCAGCAGCAGTGATATGGCAAGGCCATTGGTAGTATATTTAATGTTTTAAATGCTGGCCTGCTTGTCCTTCTATGCTTTATTCCTGTCATTATCCTTACAGTCCTTTTTTTTTTTTGGTAAAAGGAAAACTTTTTTAGCATCTGGCAAATTACCCCAGAAGATTATCCAACACTCAATAATGAGTGGAAATACATGTGGCATATCATCCTGAGTGTTTCAATAAGTCTTTTTGAGGATAAAGTTTGCAATGCTGTATTAGCTACACTCTGTTTCCTATTTGATTTTATTGATGTGACCTCTTTCCATGTTAGGCTAATTGGGTTTTCAGTTTTGGTTTTAAACTGTTGCACTTTGATTTTTCCTGTTAAGGCAGCTAGTATTTTGTCCTTACCAGAGTTCCTTATATGCAATCGATGTCTTGTGAAGTCCTCTCCTGCTAAATCCATGGCCATTGCAGATTTGTGCCCATACCTACTGGTAATGTTCAAAATTTTGTTAAACAATCTAATTCACTCAAGTTGTGTCTATGAGAATCCCCCATGAATATAATATTAGTGTGTTGATTTTCCAACAAGTTGTGATGTATATGCTTGATTTCTTAGTGTCACTGAGTTCTGTAGAACACTGTGTTGCACGTGAGACTGTAAAAACTTGTTGGTACTAAGTGAAAAGTGCAGCAGGATGCTACAGTATAATATTATGCTTGATTTCACTTGATGTGTTACTTTGACCAATATCATTTGTTCCTCCCCCATATATAAGTGTATCTTCTGTAATTAATTCACTTATTTTCTTCTGTGCTGTTTTTGTCAAAACTAAGCTGCCATGCCAGGTTTAACATAAACTATCACATCATAATGATCTTTTTAAGTTTTTGCTGTAATTTACTGGCGCAACCTCTTGCATGAATATCCCCTGTGAGCACAATTTTATGTTTAGGCTTAACCTGACATTTAGTTGTTATCCGGGTAGATGGATTCACCATCTATGTTTGATGACTTAATTTCAAACTATTGCTTATTTTTGGTTTCATCTGTACCTTGCTTATTTGCTTAGTGTCAGTGGTTGATATGCTATGGGTGCTACTATGTATTAAATCACCACTCCTATTCTTAGTCCCAGCAACTATTTTAGACCATTTAGGTCATGAAGCATTCAGTCTCTCACTATTTTGTCTTCATCACTCTTGCTTCCTGAGTAAATTTTATTATTAAGTCGTTCATAACCTCTTTTCACGAGAGGATGCATGTCCATGTAGCTTAATTCACACAGTTTTTCTAAATCCAGTTCAATCTCCAAAATACTATCACTAATTTCTACATCATTTACGTTCTTAAACTGTTTGTTAATTTCATTGTATTTTCTCTTGGATCACTTTATATTTACATTTGATATGCTATCACATTCAGTCACCAGCCATGTGGTAGCCATGTGCTCACTACCAGTACACAGTCATTGCAGCCATCACACTGCAATGAACAGTAGTTTTATAACTGATTTTTTGAGGCTTGCATGGATCACACTCTGGTCTCTTAAGGTGGCTAATACCCTCTGATATGTCTGTTTATATTACATAACACAACGTTTTGGAAACTGGACGATGGATAATGTCCAGAAACCTAATATTTATACTAATGTACCATCATCACATACGTTTAGATCTTACTAGACACAGTGTTTCGATTGATTATTGAATTTATTGGTTACATGATATTTGTAAGTACGCATAATTTTGACACTCTCATTAATCTACACAACAAGCAATTACAGCAGCAAATAACTACTATTTCTTCACTATTCATTACTGGGTTGCATCTTCTAACAATCAGAAGTCCTTTTACTGTTTCCATGCTCTACACCTCTTGTCCTTGTTGACTTGTGACTTTCTGTCCTGTGGCTGTGGTTCAGAGCAAACCAGTAATTTGCTGCTGGTCTTCACCAGAACAGTCATTCTTGGTTTTGGACCCCTACAGTACCTGTGACCATATTTTTGGTCTTTCCAAGACATTCACATTCTGAAATGTGGCCTCATCTTCAATGAGAGGAGGGACTGGACTTGAGCAGAGCACCAGTTTGCTTTTGGCCTTCCAGTCTGCATGCGTTCCCTGAGCCATTGCGTAGTAGCCTACAGGCACATTGACACTCTGAGTGGGCCTGTGTGTGATGTCTCTGATCACACTCCCAGATGGCACTGTAGTGCCACATCAGCCTCATGTAGAATTGGTCCTGCATTGTTGTCATCCAACTGATCCTTCCTTAGGGCCATCCATTCCACCCAACATAGTCATCTAGGCGGTGTGCCTCCATTACTACACTTTCGTGACAAGTGGTCTTCAGCCATTTTTACAGGCATTTCCTTTGGGGCTTACGCTGGTGTTCTCGCCCTACATATCCCAGCTTGGTGGTTGACCCTAGAACCTGTCCCAGTGAGGCTGCCTCCAGGTGCATTCTGAATCTTATTTCTTCTTGGCTGACTTTCATTGTATCTCTCTTTTATCCCTACCAATCTTTATCAGACACCATAGAGGTTGGAATATACTGAATCAAATGTGGATATGGAGATGAACGTGGTGTTGTTGATAGGATATCTAATTACTGAAGGACAAAAAATAACAGTACAAAGTCTTCTTTAAAAGGAATTACTAAACATTTTAAGTGCATTATGCTTGTATAGCAGGCAACTGTAAAGTGGTTTAAAAAGAGTTGGTTTTATAGATACTGAGAAATTGTGAACTTTTCTTTGTAGAACTTCGCGATTGTGCACATTTCAAAAAGTATGATTGCTTATTTGCCATGTCTTCATTTCTGTTTCATTTCTTTACTAAGAAGGGATATAATAAGGGGAATTTTAAACTAAAACAATCTCATAGTATTTTTGCTGCCTCTATTCGTCCTATACTTCAGAATTTTTCTCCTGTACATCTCTTTTTACAGAACAGCATTATTCTTTCCTGACTTTCTTCTTCCTATACCGCTTTGTGTTTTTGTTTGATCTCATTTTCCTTATTTTTATTCTTTTTTCCCCCCACATTCCTCTCACCTACACTTCAAATATTTTCCCTTGTGTCTGCTTTTTATGAGAACCCTTTGCAGGGTCACTGGTTCCTTTTGTTTTTTCTCATATCTCTGGTCCAGTATGTGGTGTCCTTGCATCTGTGCCAGTTTTCCCATACAGGTTTCTCTTGTGCCCTGAAGATAATACCTCCAAAATGCTGGTGCCCATATATTAAACTGCACTTCCCAGAATACTGTAATCTTGATGCATATAATAATTAATAGTCATGCACAGAGGTAAGGGGCATAATTAATTGATTATAAGTAATACTATTTTTGAGATTGCGGTATTGAAGATGTGACACTGTATAGACTGGTAGGTAGGTGCCACAGTGTTACATCACAGAGGACCATAATGTTAATTTCTGCATTGTGAGAATCTTGAATCTCAGCATTGTTCCTTTTTCCATGTGGTAATTAATTTTTACAATATAGCATATTGTGTGTGCATACATGTGTGTATGTGTCATATAGAAATAGGCTATATAGCCAGAAGTGGTAATGCGTGTCCACTGTTTGAGCATCAGGCATTAACCAAGAGGGAGTGGAATAAAAAGATACACCCTAAAGTAGGCCAGTCTTTATCTTCTTGGGTGAAGGGGTGAAATGTCTGGGAAGCCTGCATGGAATATGTGGATCAGTGGCAACAGGACTAGGAGAAATGATGATAAGATATGCAGCATTAATCCTTTCACTTCTGAGTTAATAAAACCTAGCATGACCCTTTTGCTGATTTAATTTTGTAATGCTCATTTATGAAAATAAAGGGAAATCAGGTATAAATTTGAATGGTATTGTATGTGCATACTGATTCTTGCCTTACATGATGGAGATGGTTTTGGTTGATCAAGATGGCCAAGGTCAGGTGATGTGTGGGTTAGGATATTCCTGCTCCTAGATGCAGTAGTTTCTAAATTTCTTTACATGTGACATACAGATGCAGTAAGATGTCTGCCTTGTAGTTCAGTATGCAGGTGATAGATGGAAGTATATGCCTGGCATATTTGAAAACATTCAGGAAGTTAGTTTGGATGATACTGTAAAATTGTACCCATTAGAATATGGATGCACTAAGGATGCCATTCCACAGAGCTGAACTCTTAACTTCTGTTTCTATTGAAATTCTGATGTAGGCCTATTTTAGTGGCTTAGGAAAATCTCCATTCATGTGGTGAGTTTTTTTCACTATTCTCATTGTGTTTTAGAAGTGAACGCACAGGTCTTGGAATATTGCCCATTTGCCACAACCATACATTCTGGGTGGTAAAGCTGTTGGTCTCTATGGTGCTTCTTTGTGCTGTGATCTGTTTCTGTTATTTAAAAATCCCCATTTTACATGGGACCCCATAGGCTCTCATGCATTTGTGTTGTAGGTTGCTATTGACTGGCCTGAGAAAGCTGCTTGTCTTGGACAGGGCATTATATGTGGACTCTGTGTTGTTGTGTGCCAGTAATCTGCCAGTGCCGTAAGTCTTGCTCTGTACATATGGCAGAAGGGCAATACTTGTGTGCCACGATTACTTGCCTCACTTGGTCTTCTCATGGAACAAAATACTCTATGGACATTCTTGGGAGAGTGCCCCTTCTTCCAGAAGATGTGTTAGGTCAGTGAAGCCCTGGTCACTGTGAGGTAGAGCCTTTGCAAGCAAGAGATGAAGGGTGTATTTAACAACTGTGTGTATTTCTTGCTGTGAAGTGAAAACACTGTCTTGCCACTGATGGTAAAAATACACTGTACTGAGACCATGGGAAGAAGTGATATGGATTGACCTATGTTTCATCTTGGTTGAATTATGTATTTTCCCCTGCATCATACATCCATATATTGCCTTCTATTTGTGTAGCCCTTCTGTTCACAAGAATGTTGGTGCTGATGACCACATGATAACTTTGCTAGCAACAGGTGATTCAGGCCAGAGGGACTGGGAGAGGAACAGATTATACAGCAGAGAATAGGAAGTCCTGAGGGTTCCCATCTTCACCATCCATGGAAGTTCTTTGTATGGCCTCAGTATAGTGGTGTTTTCTATTTTTTTTCTTGCCAAATTGTTAATGATGTGTGAAATCTTAAACTGTGAATGTCCTGATGAGCTAGATTTATTATTTTTATTTATTGCACATCTTTTGTTCTTATAACCAAAGTTTTTGTAATTCAATTTTACTTTTGTGTATTTGTATGGGTTCCAGTGGTCTTTGTATTGTTGATAGTTGGCTGTACAAACAAGTATTGTGTTCATGTTAATAAGCATTTTTATGTTGGGGAGAGTTATGTTTTGATTGAGCTACAAGTTTATCTTACCCCATTTTAACAAATGCTTGTTGTTCATGTCATAACATATTTAGGGGAAACAGGTATACACTGGGGCAATATAATGTTATCCTGATTGCAGGAACACCAAAACAAAGTGATTGGAATGTAACATGTTAGCAGTTTTTATATTTTGACTGGTTATACACATTATCCTATGGAAATGTTTGCAGTTGTTAATTGTAATTTATAAGAACGTGTAACAGAATATTAATACAATAAAAGCTGCCCAAAATGTGGCATAGATTAAACAGAAATCTGTCTTTATTGGAAAACTTCTGCAAGCCCATATTAGAGTAAGAACTAATGTAAATATACCTCTGATAAAATACACAGTATTTAACATGAAAGAGAATATGTAGCAGAAACTTAATGAAAAATAGTATATGTGAATCTTTACTGTTTCTTATTGAAGTAATTATGTTGTGTATTGGAACATTGTCATGAATGTGATAGAGTATGTACAGAATACAGAATTTATACAGAGAAAGGAAGGGGAAAGAAGGGGTTAGAAAAAGGAACTTCGAATACCTGTAATGCACTGGCAAATGCTCTGGTCTGGTTATTAGTGTGCAGTCAGACCACTGAAGCTGGAGGAATATAAAATAAAAAGTTTTCTCTCCTCCAGTCATTAAAAGCTTTTAACTCCTCTTGTGCCTGTGGGAGAATGGAGGGCACCGCATCTGAAGCCACTTCTAGCCCACTCTCAGCTACAGCCACACACATCTCACCATTTCAGTGACTGTAGAATGCACCTGTGCTGGCTTTATGCTTACCTCCACTTTGTACATGTTAAACTGATTGCTAGGGAAGGCTGAAGGACTTATTTGGGCACCAGTAGTCACAAGGCGAGCTGTAGGATGCCTTCTGGTAAGGATAGGTAGTGAGATGGCTAGCTCAGTGTTGGTTTTTGGAAGAGCCTGAGATCTGTCCCAGAGTCTTGATGGACCTTGCCCTAGGAGGGCAGGAGGAACAGTTTAGCAAACACACACACACTTGCATACAATAACGACAGTGATTGGCATTGAACTCTTGATTTATTAAACAGCACTGGCTGTGGGTTACACTGATATGACATCAACTGAAGTTCAGCTTTAATAATGTTAAACACTTGGTGGCAGTTTAAGTTGAATTTATGGTCAAAATCTGCACCATGATCTTGTAATGATTTAGTATAAATGCTTGACAAATATGTTAATTTAGAATTTCTGAGGAGCGCAAGTTTTTTTTCCAAATATTTTGGAAGTACTTGGAACAGAGCTTCTCGGAGCCCACAGCTTCCCTATAAGGAGCCTTCACTGAACTTACCACATTGGTCTCCTAAATTTTTGCCTCTTCCAATGAACGAAAGTTGCTATACGATTTTGACACCCAAGACACCAACTGCCCTCTGGAAAGCTCGATGAATTATAATCGTAGTAGCGCCTGTAGCTGGCCTTTGTGCCTAAAATGTATCTCTCAACTGAGATATCACGTATCAATTTCCAAAGCTCTGCCACAGTCGTGTTGAACGTAAATTTTCCAAGAAAAGTGCAGATGACTATCTCCCCTCAACTAGATTTTATAACATAAATAGAATAGTTTCTAATAATTATGGGTTTCCCACTTAATGAGTGGGAGTAAGTAGACTCACCACTTGACTGTAGGCTGAGACTTTATTTTCCCAGTATATCATGCTATACTGGTATGTTTTGTATACTGTTTGTTATTTAAAACGATATTTTGTGTTTACAATTCATTGTCTGTCTCCAGTATACCGACTGGTCTTTCATTAGTTGATAGTTGAAAAGCATAATCACTATATATTTATTTCCATGATTTATTTAATCCGTCTTGCAGTGCATACACTCATTTATCTCCTNGATATATTTATTATTGATAGTCTCAACGGTCGCAACTGTAGAGTGCTTTCCACCTCCCCCCATGTCGATAATAGTGGTGTGCAGAGCACGGATTTCTGCATTTGCGTCTGAGAGTTCCGAGGTATTCGATTCAACGTAATCGATAGTCTCGTCCTGTTTACTATACGTGGTTAGGTTGGCGTGATTGTCATGGTCGTTACGTGTGCAACTGTTTAGTCGTTTGAAACAGTGGGCGTTGGGTTATTTGGCCACCTGGAGCACACCCCCTTAAAATTATAAACGTAAATCACTGTGCTGGAGGAATATTCACGACATACATACATACATACATATGTATGTACTTCTGTTAATGGTAAAGAAGCGACAATATGTGCCAGTTCACCATTATGCATGTCATGATCGTGGAACAGCTTCACTTTACAAGAAATTGTCTTATTTAAGCTCCGGATTGATGTAATTGGCCAGTTAAAAGTTAACAGCCCAGCCGAAGTCTGTTGAAAGTCGAAGGAGAAGTTTGGGCAGAAACCAGTTAGTAGCCTAGTTAAGGATGTCAGTCCTAGGTTTTGTTATTTCTGGTTGAAGAGGAGGTTACTTTGTGATTAGACTAACGTTTAATTCCTAAATTAAATAAAATTTAATTCTTCAGGGTGCAGAATAGTAAGGTACTAAACACTGTTACCGTCATAAACATCTTAATTGAATTGCAGTAATTCTTGCTTCATCATTGGCACCCCTGTCACTAGGTTACTATTGTACCAGTACTGCCCTATGTATTTATGTGTTTGTGAGTAAGGCAATAAGCGCTTTAAGTGGTGCATGTAACCGTGTGATGATGTGTTAAGCCTTACGCATTTGTCCTTTTATTATAGTTGTGTGAGGAAGAGATGAACAGTTATTGGAAGTGGGAATTTCGTTAGGGACATGTCAAGAAGAAATTAGAATGTGCTGTAGGAATTAGAATTAATTAGAAATTTCTATGCTGTTGGTAGGCCTACTCGGTGATGGAACCGAGATGTGAACCTTTAACATGAAGACAGAACAAATGTAATTGTCACATTATGAAAAACGGATACCCAGATAAGCAACGATTTCACTTATTTTAGTAATTTTTATGTAATGTTATGTTAATGGATGTAATTTCAGAACATTAGGAACTGTGATTATTATGATTATTTTAGTAGCTGCAAGGACACAAATCAGAGTCGAATGCTATGCTTTAAATTCTATTGTAGAGGTGCCCTATAAGAAAGATAAGTTACGAGCCGTCGCTCTTATGGAATTGTGCCATTTTATGAATGATTGTGGTAATTATTAATCATATTTGCCCACCAGATGACAAGAAAATAAGAGACAGTCCTTGAAAGGACTAGGAATCGGTGCAATACAAAAGTAATCTTTCTGAGTTTTGTAAGTTTTGAGGTTTTCACGGCGATGACAATGAAGAAAGTCGTCTTCTGGGTTTAGGCACCGTGTATTCTTCGTTTCGGCCGACGTTCCTCCGAAACGTCGGCCGAAACGAAGAATACACGGTGCCCAAACCCAGAAGACGACTTTCTTCTTTCTGAGTTTTGTCCAGAAATCATTGTTTCATCGAGATAAGCATGTTCGAAATGTAGGTAGTCTCAGATGTTCATGTTAGGTGGGAACGTGACGTCAGATTGATTTACGTATTTCAGCGTTCAAATGTAGAGGTATGGGCTCATGCTAGAGCCACCACTGTTCCCACAACCTATCTCAAGGTCACCGTTGAAGTCATACTCCACGTCGGCATCGATACTGTTTTCTGAATGGGTTCGAATTCCTCACTCCACTCACACATTATACAAAGTATTCCGCTGCAGCCTCAAAATTACGCAGTCTTATCTCCATTTTAGTAACCTAAATACAAATTTCTCACGTCGATATGTTTTTCTTTACATTCCAAATGAATTACGTATTTCTACAAAGATCTGTTTCCATAGGTCTATGATGTCATTTCAGGGGGCACACACTAGACAGTTCAGTGATCTGATGGAGTTTCCCTTTCTTTCTTTAAGAAAGGCAAGTGGGCTAAATGTCATTCAAGTCAACATATTTGTCAAGTGAAGAAAGCAGTCTTCTGGGCTTTGGCGCCGTGTATATGTGGTGTTAACCGACGTTTCGGAGGAANAGTAATCACTGCATGTAAGTGGCAGAAGATTGACTTGTGTCTTGGGTAAAAGCAGCCAGCTTACTAAATTTATAAATTAATCCCTTTGATTTAGATTACATTGTACTATAGTTTCCGACGAGGAATTTGTTCTAGTCGCAACTTAACCCTGCTAGAAGTGGTTAAAGGAAACATATTTGATTCCATTTTGTTTCTCCACACCTTACAGAAAACTTCATGATCAAAGGTCGCGGACAAGTGGGTTTCATTTCTACTTTGTTTTTCGGAAGACCGCGCCCATAGCTCAGGCGGTTAGCCGCTGGCTTCCCACCGCGGCGGGCTGGGTTCGACCCCGGGTCTGGTCATGTGGGATTTGTGCTGGACAAAGTGGTGCTGGGGCAGGTTTTCTCGTAGTACTTCGGTTTCCCCTGCCAATCTTCATTATACCAATTGCTCTACAATCACCCTCATCTATCATCTGTGTTTGGCACAAGAGGCCAGTAGTGGACTCAGTCTCTTTTTTTTTTTTTCAGAGGTTCCCGGTTAGATTCTCGGTCAGTGACCTATTGTGACTGTCCTTTCGATAGAGTACCTCAAAATAGAGCACAAGTGTTCCTCATATCTTGCCAATCCCATCCTTCAATCCTCGCATCTTGTTTCCGGTACCGTTTTCATAACAAAATATAAGCGGCGTTTTAATGGATTGGAAATAGAGGAGGAAACTATTGTGTTAAATTCTCCTTACTTACTGAAAGACTGGGACCAATTGGAGGGGAATAGAATATGATAAAATGTTCTCGTATGAGAATCGAGCCCAAGCCATCCTTGATATTGTAGCTGTATGGTACCGTCTTGTTGACTGAGCTATTTAATTTTTCAGCTCTATGAACTTCAGCGGATAGCTAGTTAATTTTCTTTACCATTCTACCTTCGTATCACATGGATTGCTACAACAGCTGATTCACTTGCGTCAGAGTTGAACATTGCACCTCCCCGAGTTTGGAATACTCTCAAGGTTTTCGTAAATTGATTTCATTTTAGTCTGATTTGAGATTATTTCAGAGGTTGCTTTGTGCCTTGTTTATCAGTTGCTTGTTGTCCGACCTCGTTTATACACCTTCAGCTTCAGTAGAATGTTGGCGGTTGTAGGGGTGGGGTGGGGGACGATTGGGAGCTGTCACTTGCACCTGCAATGAGGTAATAATCACAGGAAATTGTTTGAGGGCGCCCCGAAGCTTAATTCATTATTGGCTTGACGTTTGAGCAG